AATCATAAGCTTCCGTCGATTGTATTTTTGGTGAGATGATTTCCGAAAGATTTTGAAAGCGCGATATGACAAGATACTTGTGACTATTTTCAATTACAATGTAAAGATGAGGGCATTAAAATGTGAATTGAATGAAGCCGACAAGGATAAGCAATACATTAGATATTTCAAAATAATAATTATGTTATCTTCGTTGGCTAGCTCTCACGTTATTGTGTACTAACTTTTTCTTAATGGTCTTTGGTGTGTAATTCCAAAACTTGACAAACATGGATGAGAAATAATTTACTTGCTACCAATCGGCACTACACAAATCCGATTATACATGTTCTAAGATGCTACCGTAAAGGCATTGAGCGTAATTAATCTAGGCATCATAAGGCTCTAGATCTTTTTCTTCTTCCTTCTCTCTCTAACCGCAACAGATTAAAGGACATATGACGATGCAACATGGTGTATTTATTAGATTTCGCTAAAGGCTTTAGGAGGCTATGTTGTTGTTTCTGATATTCCACCAAACTCAAAGATGGCTTGCAAATCCCTGTTTGCAATCATTTTAATCTCGTCGATGCAAATCAAATTTGCTGGATGGACTTGGCTCATGTATTGTACTACGAACGAAGATTGATTTAAATCGCTAAGACGGCGGAATGTGTAGGTCTTACTTACACCTTATTTACTTTTTTTTTTATAACTAACTTACAACCTGATTCGGTCTCTAGTTGACAATTTATGGTTTTTCGCTTACTTGCACCGTCGTCCATTTACTGAGCAATTGCATTTAACTACCTACTGTATCATTATCTCCATACCTGTTATACGTTTACATGGAAGCTCTTTTAGCTCTTTTTCGTGTGAAGCAGATTTAGGTGCTCCTACAAGTTTAGCACACTTTCTTAGTTGGCTAATTATTGTTATAAAATCTTAAGTACTTTTCCTTCAAATACGATCACTACAAAAATATAGCTAAAACCTATCAACTGATATAACAACAGAGCTCTTTGTTAATCGCAACAGTACCCGTTTGCCCGTGCCTAGTAATGTTCATTATACTTTCTCCCAATGTAATATATTGCAATTACATGAGTCAAACAAGAGATGAAGGACGTTACAGTATTTCAAAGATAATGTCAGCAATGAAATAAAGCTCATTAATGACCTCGAGTTTAAATAAATTTCATTTGCCTTTCCCCTTGGAGTGCTCGAGAAACAAACTTGCTAGCATGAAGGCACAAAAGAGAAAGTAAAAGCAACTAATTGTGGAGGCCACTAACGGAAATCTAGGTCGCAGAGCTTTTTCTGGAGATACCGTGCTTATAGTTACACAACCGACTCCCCCCTAAAATAAAACAATATCATTACCGTTAACAATGGCAATAAGCATATTTGCAATTCACACCCGTAGACGGATACATATAACTTGTATGTTCAACAGCAACAACATTGTGCACCAAATGAAATTAATTATTGAACGTGCTTTCAGTATTGATAGTGTAATGATACTGCTCCTAAAGCAACGAGCCCAATAGTCATACCGGGAGGTGTTGCTCGCTAATAAAAAGAAGATATATATGTAGTGCCCTAATTTAGCGTTGGTACACTGGCCTGTTCTACTGAAGTTGAGGCACGTTCACGGACCAGCGAAAGCGCCTAGCTAAAAATACCCAAGGAAACATGTGGATTCGAAAGTTCTACTTAATAGGCAGTCTTTATCTCTCATAAAACAATATTCGATAAAAGATTAGTTTGTAGAACGGGACAAATAATTTGCTCACGCAAATTGAGTTGCTGTCTGTCTTCTTGTCTTGAATAGATTACGTTACATCGTATCCAGATCAGACGTTGTCAGTGAATTCTGAAGTGCCCATGATTGCGCCGTTCTTCTCCTAGTTGCTGCTACTTGCTGGGAAGAATTTTATTTGACGATGCAGGATCACGTCAAAGGCAACAACGATAATAAAATTGACCTTGGATCTTTGGTACTAATAATTAAAATAAACGCAAGAACCCAGATGATTCGGCTATGAAACGAGAGAATGGCATTTGCAAATTGAATAAGTTCTGTGCTACAGGCCAAGTTTTGCAATTAAAGATGATAGTAGCTTATTGTACCACTGTCAGGCAGTGATTCTGTCATAATTTTTAGTGAACAAAGAAAGATTCATATTGGGTTATGTATAATGGTAGTAAAAATGTAGCAAATAATTATTAATCATTGGGCTTAACGAACTTATTATTTTGGTCCTTACACATGTGTCCTCCCATCCATAACCTTCTGAGAAATCAACTCTCTAGATATTTTTGTACCTATCCTTACTGTTGCATATCTGACTATCTAACCACTGGGACTGCTAGTGAAAGCTTAAGCATGCGGCACATAACCTATGCGAACATCACAATTAAAAATAGGCATGAAAAATGTACTCGCAAAAAATGTTGGGAACAAATTTTTAATGTTAGTATCTAGCCAATCGTATGAGTATAGTGGACCTAACGAAACATGTCGCATTTTTTTTTGAATGAGACACCTTTCTATTTGTATCGCCGTAGCTGAGATAATTATAGAGCTGCTATACAAGCTTATATTATAGTTATAAAAACCGCCTTTTATCGTAGTAGCAATAGAAGTTAGAACAGAAAAATATTATTTTCGATAACTTATGATTAAAGTTTGTGAAAACTTTTCCTTACCTCAACTACTAACTAGGTGTTCACAATTTTGGAATACTTAATACTCAGGGCTAACGATCTACAGGCCACATACATACGACCGACCACACTAGCGATGGAATGCGTCTCCGGCAAGGTCATTTATATCTTAAATAAATTAGTAAAATAGGGGATCGAACGACTTGTTCCACCATGATATGTACGATGACTACATAAATAATCGTGACTCTACAATATTACTGATTTCTACATTATACACAGCGTCTTCTTATATGTAGCTTTATTTAGAAGAGGAAACTACATACCTATTTCTAGGTTGATTAGAACAAGAACTGTCGGCCGACGTTTGCTGAATTCTTGTGACTTCTGCCATACGTCAAACTCCGTTAGTAAGCCAGCGATCAGGTGATGGTAGTTTGTTGCAGGGTGGTATCAGGGTTAGTGGACATGGATGCATCATCAATCGTTTGATACAGCATGGACAGATCAGCAGTTGAGGTGGCGAAAGAAAAGTTCCTTTTTTTGATAGGGTGGCTATTGCAACGAGAACTACACGAAACTAAAGCAATATTAATTGTTTAGACTAACGATTACTGTAATCGCTGGTATTCTCCATTTAGTGAATGAAAATGTATAAAATGAACGCGATCAAACGATATCGTCGAAAATGGCATCAGAAATTGATTATCTCTGTGTAAGATTGATGCTAATCTTTTCTAGTGTATTTTTATTCTAGTGAATGAGGAAACCCTCGCTACTCTTAAAGGCTCCGAGAACATCTATCAATAATAACCATCCGATGTGTGCCTCAATTCTCTAGTAATCATAGTGTGCACATACTCATTAGCCACTTTTGCTTTTTTACGCATTTAAAAATACCTATAAACCAGACAATTATATCTTATACAGACTCAACAGTTCTCTGAACTTCTTCTGTAGAATAGATTCTAGATAAATAAATTGGTCCATCGATACTTACCAACGGCGCATTATGCGCGCAATACACGGTTCCTCTTCAGCTATTAAATTCCGTACATAATGGAAAAATGTATACAAATCTAGAAGTATTTAATCAAAATGTGGAACCCCTTAGGTACGCGTTGATATCCCAATGCGAGTTATTATAACTACTGCTTACTAAACGCATATAATTAAAAATTACTCTCTTAAAATAATACAATACGGGATTAAGCTGCAGGGTCAAGAGGATTGGTTCATCTACGACAATTCACTATTGAGCTCTGCTAAAGAACACCCACGCTCTAGACCGTCTTGCGGATTGAGACTATGACTTCATTTTCAATTTTTCACACCTACTGGCAACCCGGCACAATGGTACTCCTTGATGATTTTAAAGGAAAGATAAGTAAACAATTAGATATATGCAACGGTTTTCCATATCGATGAGAACCATGTCTATAACACTTCAGTAGGAGTTAAACATTTTATGTTAGTTCATGCTAGGGTTCTCTGATACGACCTAATGTTCACAACTGTATTGTTGTGGACTATTTATTGCGGGTCCCATGAAAATTCCATATTCAGAATTTAATGAGCTGGTCAAGCTTATAAATTATTTGTACTTGGCATAGCTTATTGTCAAATACGTCTGTTAATGATCTGCAGCTATTTGAAGTGCAAATAATGTATTCGGATAAGTAAAAACTTACGGATTAATTGAAACTCCAATGTGTCTAGAAACCACGTGTGAAAAAAGGTGACGACAGCTAGATTAAAAATAACGGATCTACGCAAACAGAAGATCGATCGAAGAGCATCTTAATAATTCTAGAAGACTCGCAAATCAGAAGTCAATCAAATCAACTCAACTTCTTTGTAATAATAAAATCCCGTAAACAAAAGCTAGATTTTTTTCAGAGGATCCATGCTTATAGACCGACCGACTGACCCGATTAAATCCTTAGCTTTAATTCTCATATATATATATATATATATATATATATATATATATATAAGCGCATATTATATGATCCTATTTACAACTCAAATTAAAAAAACATTGTATTTATTGTAAATAAACAAATAATGTGAAATGTATATATTTTTACGGACGTCTGTACAAAAAAGCAAATTCTGGAATATTCATTTATTCGTTGCTTAAATATGATATTCCAAATGAATAAAAAATCCAGACATTCAATTGTATCTACCTCGTTACTACGACTAAGTTTTAAAAATTTTATGAAACTGAGACTTACCTTCTAGGACTGCTAAGATAACTTTCCAGATTCCATATATGTAAAAATCAGTTTAGTCCTTGAAACTTAATCCATCGCTTGTAATTACTTATTATTACAATTTCACAATGATGGAGCTCAACGAATATAGTTTTATTTTGAAGTATATACATAGCTACTTTAGATTACGCTGATCATTAACGAAAAATGAATCACCTCGAGCATTATACACGACCCATTGTTTATTAATGGCTCGTTAGAATATTGTAGAAGTGATACACTTCATCCTGTGCGCCCATAACGGCTACCTGAAAAGCAAAAAATTGTGTTTCCTGAACGACGTAATTATATGTTCAAACTAAGGTACATGTGTCCAGGAATTAAATGATTTCATAGCTAGTCATTAATTGCATACATATTTACATCGTAAATGATTTGTTAACATAAAGATAAATTGAATCAATCTAGTTTAAAAAATATCCGCACAAGCATATTTTTAGATTGAGAACTTTTTAAATTGAAAACTCAATTTTAAACGTGTCCCCGGAGTAATGTAAATAGACATCCCGGACTCCCCTAGGAATGAGGGCAGTGGTCTAATGGGAACTCTTTTATTAACAACCAGGGACTGGTTTTACATTTTAGTCTCACTGCACGGATTATATGAAGATATGGTGCTGGGTGTTCCAAAGAATACGTAAAAGCTCGTACCTCATAAAAAACTAAAAGGAACGAAAAAGACTGCAAATATTTAAATAATCTCAGACTCGAACTCCAGCACTGAAAGTGTCCGATGGCCTGGAGTCATATGTGTAAAATGGTTACATCGCAGAAAAATAATTTTTTTCACACGGATTTTCATCTAATTTGCTTGTTCAGGCCGTTGGACCACCACCAAAAAAAGTAAAGACCACTTTAAAGACATCACATCAAATGATTTTCCTGGTAGACTTGTTAACAACTCATGCCCCTCTTGTAACGCGGGTTAGATAAAAACAAATCGCAATCAAGACATGAACAACAACAGGCTTATCCTAGTACTATTTTATTATTATTTTCGGTTTACCTGAGTATTACAGTTGTCGCAAAAAACTGGATGAAATAAATCCGATTGAGGGGTATCGTCCGTTGCCTATGGTAAAAAAAATGGTTTATTAAAACAACTTCATTATGATCAATGCATCATTCAGTGTCAAAAACAACTTTCCTTCCTAATTATCACGATATGGCGGTACTAGACATCAGTCTACGCAAGAAGCTACGTGAGAATAAACTTGTAGAGTTTACAAATACATTAACTGGCTGCTCATAAAATTATTTTGAGTCAGTGGTAATTAAAGCAGTAATTAGAACCTGTTCCGTTGGATGGTACTCCTCTTGTGTATCAGCGTAACTTTTAGCGGCTCTCGAGGCGGTAGCACCCAAATCTAACCTTCGGCGCTTTTTACTTCTTTCCGAACATTCTCCCACGTACCTTTTTAAGGGACATGAGAGCTTTATGTTCTCATCGGTGCGGCAGTTCTCTACAAACATAGCGCGATACTGATTTCTGTACACCTGCGACACCATTTAACAATATCTTTCTCAATATATTGAATTTTAACGACTTAAAATTAGCACTCTAAAGCTTTGCGACCCAGCGTTATTTTTAATTATGTTATAAAAGATATAAAAACATTTTAATGAGCATCACTATTAAGAAATTTTTGTCTCTGTCACACGATTATGTACGTATTGATAGTTACATGTGTAATGCATGGTCTAAGAGCATCAGTTGTTTTATAGATGTGAAACCAGGATATGCATTTTTATATTGCAAAACCTGCTTTACTCGAAAATAAATCTATTGCACTAGCTCTCACCGCGTGTCGTTGGCAATCCCGACAGAGCAGAGTCATACAGGCAGGACAGTTCAGGACAGCATCACTTTGTCGTAAGGGGGCCGCTTCAACGTCTACAACGAAAATAATGCCCAGACACACAAAAGATATACAAGGAAAGAACAAGCTCAGAAGATGGCTTATCGTTAAAACGAAGGTAGAAATGGTCAAATAATCCCGTACTCTTAAATGAACAAGGATTTATATATATATATAGAATACGGCAGCTAAATTGGGACCAACTTTGACTGTTTGCTTGTCATAAAGATCATGCGCTCATCCACCATTTTTGGTAATCCGTTCTTTTTGGAATGAACCAGACTCTCCATGGTGGACAACAATGTCTTGTGTTCGCAATTTGAACGAAAATGAGCTATTATTCAATCTCTTCATGCTCAAAAAACTCCATTCAAGATTTTAAAAAAATCCACAGTTATTGCCAGATCATCCGGCTTCTGAAAGATTCAAGGAATATTTCTATGAGGCAAACCGAAAAAATCCTCAATGGATTCTCCATTTAGAAAGCTTCAAAATTTATAAAAACGGCTAAAACATCAATTTTTAATTCACCCAGATTTTGGACACAGAAACTAACGGCCGCTTTGGAGAAGAAAATATGAAATGTTGATCGTGTTATCCAGATAAGTTTCAGTTGGTTGTCTAGAGACTTTTTTTTCCATCTTTTGGACCTTTTTGGGCCCTTGCATGTATGGGTTTCTTGGCCCGCTATCAACCTAAAATCTACTTTTATTGGATTTTTTATATCTAGTGCGCTTGAACAACACTTCAAGGTTTACACCTACATATACCGCTTGACCCACGATTACTACTAAAAAGTAATTTTTAAACTAAAAAAGAAATATTTTGAGAACGACTAATGAGTACTTTAGGTCCCAAATTGAAACGGTAATCGCGGTGAATTGTTCTTCCCTCTTCTGAATGACGTATGAAGTTGCTTATGTGTGGAACACATAGATCGGATGCGATTGCCGGTCGGTATCAGTATATGCGCAACGAAGTATGTAAATAATGACTTTTAATGTGCATACATTATTTTACAATGACGACGTCACATAACCTACTATTGATGCTTAATAACTGATGATGTAAGTGTTTTTAAATTAACTAGAATAACTGTGCTATTATTATTAACCTTTTGACACGCTCAGTTTATCGTGTGTATATTCAACATCTATTCCGTCATACATTTTTGTCTAACTAGTTAGCAATTTGAGTCGTAAATACAGAGAAGCGCGACATGAGATCATACACGAGTACAGTCAGAGCAGCGACAAATGAATAACATAGTTTTTACCCCTAGAACTCTACAAGTAGTTCCTCCCTTCGCAAATAAGCAGAGGAGGCTTAGTTGATTGATTTCCATAATCTCCATAAGCGCCGAACCGCGTTCCAATATATTTATTCTATTAAAACTTCATAAATGGCAATATGTTTTCGTAGAAGCCGATCTCATTGCGATTATATCTGGAGAAATCAACAGCAATAGTGTGGTGTGCGCCACTGTACATCTACGTAACAATATATATGGGCAGATTGCAAACTCTGTCCAAAGTAGATTGAAGGCTCTGCACCGTGCACGGAGATAACTCTGCGCCAGAAAGAATGGTTAAGCGTTAGCTTGCAGAATTTGAGAATAGCACGTAAGATCTGAAGACACCTCGAGTATCGTTTCCAGGTATCGTTGAATAAAGGCAGCCACTAAACGATTCGTAAAACTCATCAAAAACATTAGCTATTGCGCACTGCAGGCTACTTGCACACAGTATGACACATGCGTATATATATAGAAAAATGACGATGTTGTAGACCCCACGCACTTACCGAAAACAATACGGAGGACGGGCTAACGTTGCATAAGAACATCTCGCCCGATACCATACATCACAAGCTAGATTGGTTGCACAACTGTGGGAGGTCCTAAACAGTGATAGCAGCTGCATACAAAGCTGAATTGCAGAAAGTAAATTATAGGATGTGCTTCCCGTTAAACAAAATTATAACAGGGCTTATTTTTAAACGCAACAATTATTTTCTGCGGATCGTTTTGCATGTAAATAACTATTACCATACCTATTCAAACCTATACTTCAACTGATAGCCTACTTTTCCCTAAAAGAGAGCCCACTTGTTCCAACCCAGCTTAGTTTTTCAGACATCTAAGCCTTCTCCCCCACTCGATACAACACTTATAGTTGGGATGATATTGCAGAATCTAATAAACTACCACTGCAGCTAAGCATAGATGCCTAGCTAAAACCAGAGCAATTAGTCAAGCGAAAAGCTTTTAGAAAAACTTACGTTTCTAGTGTATTTAGCTACCGAGTTAGCGGTCTTCATTAACTGGTATCTATAATATATACTGCTAGCCCCGTGTTCTCACTAAGCTATACTAGGAAGCCAAAGCAGACATCGCATAAAGGCTCTACAAGAGCCAGTTCCTCTCAATCACCAACCTGTTTGACGAGTTTTTGAAATGAGACTTCGGTTCTGCTGACCTCCGTGCAGATGGGCCTGAATATTTTGCCGTCGACGTTCATCAACCCATCGTTCGTCTTCGTCATCCAGAAAAGGATCGTATAAGGGGTCCGCGTCCTCGTCTACACCCATTGTGAGAAGACATCGAATTTCAAACGACGACAAAACTACTATTAATTTTCGCACATGATGATGTTGCTAGCTTTTGAATGCACAATGCGACAAAGTCAACATTAGCACGTAGTTGCAATAGAACATTCCGATCACCTGACATGTATTTACGGCTTGGTCTTTAGGGTAGTTTTTTCTGAGGATAGCAGCATTCAAAATATGTCACCTTCGTCGTCGTCGTCGTTGTCCTTCCTAGCATCGACGTTGACTTCTTCGTTTTTAAAAAGGTTTTCAGTGACCTGATGATATATCCTAGATGAACTGTCGCCCATTTGTTGTTCTCTCCGACGAGCCATCTGCGTAGTTGACAATTACACTCTCATTATTAGAGCATTATAAATTAGTTCGATTCTTTGCTTGCATTCTAACATACCTCTATTGTGCTTTTGAAAGTTGGTATTTTTATTAATGTGTTCAAATGTTTACCATTCACAGATCCATCTTTCGGTTAGTTGTATTCGGCAATCATGTTGGCGTACACAATCATCTGTTTGTCATTATGCAATGACATGGATGTTTAACATTTCAAAACTAGTACATCATATCGATGTTTAGCACTCCAAACCCAAATTGGCTGTATACTGATACACGCAATGAGCAAACCTGTCATAACCATGATGACAATCTTCAAGTTCATCTTGACAGAAAAAGTAGGGTGGCACGACTTACAAAATAACTGTTTCGAATTCTACATCCAGTATTGCCGTTAAACATTGCCTTAACTAGTATAACCTACCCAATACGAGGTATTTGGAAATATGTACTTTACCTTTCTAGTGAGTTCAGCCTGCATTTCCATTTCGAAATCATCAGCTCGTTCGTCTTCGGCCTCCGAATCGCTTCCTCGGATAAAATCATCGTCACTATCACAAAAATCGTAATCTTCATCATAGATTCGTTCCAATCCAGTTAAAGGCTCCATGCCATTCCACGTATTTCACCTAGCTGCCACGGTAGTTTAGGTAACGCTAGCAAAGAAGAACAAAATATGACACTTCCAAATGAAACAAAATTGAGAGCCACATACTAAAACCAAGTTGCTGGTTGTTTACTGTGTTTCGGTACATAGGTCTGAATTCACTCAGCCTTCTCAAGGGAAACCGTGTCCTTCTTTATTTTCCACTAGCCATCACTCTATCCTTGATTAGCGATATTAAATACTATATGTATGAAAAGGAACGAAGTAGATATGTAAGAGCGACATCACGTACGTTATAACAACAAGTGCTCCTAGCCTCTGTCTCCAACATGTGCTTAAACAATTTCACATTTCAGTGTTTTCAGTTTTAATAGCAGTTGCTTTTTTTTTAATTATAATTTTGTCACCTTCCAGATAGTCTAATCTTTGTTGCCATGCATCGAGCGCATACGAAACCTCGTGATAGCATTTATGAATACGGCCCTAATGTGAGACGTTTGCAAAACCCAGTGACCTTATCTGAAAGATAATAAACCCTAGATAAATGGCCCGTCTCAGCGTGAAACAGATCAATAACTAATCAACTATGTAAACGCATTGGACTAAACTAGGACTAGAACGAATAACACGGGCAAAATGACCAGCTTCTCTTAAGTCAAGTACGCATTAGTCATATTTCTACAACCACATATTATGAATTTTCATCGCCAAAAGATTTTAAGTAGTCTAACTGTTTTTAGTTTGAGTAAATGCTGGACTTACTAAAAATGGAGCGTTTCGTCAACGAATGCCGGCTTAGAGAGAACACTGATGCGTGCCGGTGATGTCAACAGCACTGCTGATACGGCTGTCTAAAAAGTGAGCAGCGGTTTAAGCGTTTGAATGACAGGTAGTGCTCTTTTAATCACTTGCGGCCGTGTACAATGTACTCACATAACGTGCTACGTAGGTTAAAAAGGGTAAAAGAAAGAATTTTGTAATCTTTAGAGCGACGTCCTATGCTATGTGGGATCGGGCTACTGTGAGTATCCGGTATCGTAACTAAGCAATTTTCTTGTAAAACAATGCAATCATAACTTGTAATGTAAACTTATTTATTGAGGATCAACAACAATCGTGTTTTTCCTTCAGTGAAAAGTCAGGGATAAGTCACGACAATATTTATCCGAAAGTCCAAGTGGCACCACGCTGAATCGTTAACACCATATTTGAATAATGAAAATATATCCAGCCCCGAACTACAACAACATACACAATTATCAATAAAGAAACGACCTATATACATAGTTCGCCTAGTTCGCGGGCAAGATAACACACCAATTTTGGCAAACATAGCATTTTTGGCTGATTCAACGAAATTATTAACTAGGTCTAGCCTTTGTCAAGCCAAAACACTTCGCGGATGAATTTAATTAAAAAATCTAGGTTAAATAAGTTATTTAGTATGGTGATAGAGCATTATTAAGAGGCTTTAAAGAGCGTGCATTCCGTTTTAGAATTGTTTACGAAATGGCGTTGTGTATCATAGCTACATCTAACGTTAGCAAGTTCATTCAGCAGCGTTGCCATGCATGCAGTTAGGAAGCGGTTAATTAAAAAACTACAGGAGAAAAGTCATCATAGAAAATTATTTTTCAGAAGACACCGTGGCAGATCGAGTAAATAGCCTTTGAGATATCAATAAAGACCATAGAGGAGGCCAAAAGCAGCTCCAGCGCAAAAGCGGGTGATGTAGCTATAGATACCACAAAGAGCCAGATCTCAGGAGTGGGAGTGAGGGAAATCACACTGCGAGAGTGATAAAAAAATAAATCGAAAAGGTGAGTCTTATGCTGACTTTTGATAATTTTTCTTAAAAAGTTCCCTACTAAAGTCGGTTATAGTTATTATTTGATAGTTCGTTGAAATATCGCGGGTGTCCTTAAATTTAAATTAAGGAATAAATCTGTCTACTTTAAACGAGGCCGAAAAGATATTAGTCTGACGAAATGAATGTATGTGCCAGTGGGCGGGCAATTACATGCCTTGTTTGTTGGAAGATTTCAAATCGAACAGCAGTAAGTTAGCTTTGAAACCTGCTTTCATGACATGCTTAATGCAAGAACTGGTTCTTTGGTAATAGGTAAGAAGTTAAGAAGAAGGCAAAGGAACGTTGGGAAAAGAGCACTAAGAAATGCGGTCGTGGCGAGCCCGGTGGAATTGCCGTACACGAACCCACTTTTACGAATGAAGATGTAAGTAATTTCGCTATTTCATTATAGCCTTGGAAAGACATGCCATTAGATTTCATAGTACTTCGTCGATAAGCTTTTTTGCACGGCCGCGAAAATTGATGACGAGGCGTTACAGCGATGTAATGTAAGCCCCGATTAATGTCTGATTGATATTTTTTTAATGCCTTGTAGCATGCATCTTTACGTTGTTGATTGGTTTTCTTTTTCTCAACTTGCCTAGAGTACGCCTAGAGCGACACAGCCGCGCCAAAAAAGTTCCAGGTGGGCCACTTACAATAAATAAAATTCGCAGTAATATAAATATTATACAGAGTGCCGCGGAACCCACATCTTTAAACTCGTATATTGCTAACCAGTCAACAGAAAAGCGTACTGAAATATCAATTGTAACTAAACGGAAATTTTTTTTTTAACTTCTCTATGCTAACTTTTAGAGGTAAAAATAGTCCATACTTTACATCAAGCTCGTTAAAGAATTAAAGGATTTATAGACTGCATCAAAAACAGAGACCAAGTGTCAGAAGAAAAGGAAGCCTCTAAATGACATTTTCACGAAACGACAGAGGCGCTTTTCAAATTTTCTTTTCTATATACGACACCTGCCCCAGTAAATCAGTTACAGTAATCCAACAAATGATATATTTTACCCGACTACGCTTGCACTAGCCTCCTGTTCACCGTATGGGTACATATAAAACACAAGTATGGCTTTTTTAACTAGGCTAAGATATTACTAAAAGGCAAAAATATTACTTCATGGTTCTGCGGGGTGCTTCAATGAAAACGAAATATATCCAACCTGTAGAAAAGTTTTTCGACTGCATTAATCATTTTATTTTTTATGTTCATTTTTTTGTAATTACTATAGCAGATTTCTATTTTACAGAAATTATTCAAGTTCGTTCGTCACTTTCCTTCTGGGTATATTCAGCTACAAAAACCTCATTCCATAAATCACAACATTCATATATATATAAATATATCTACATATATATTAAATGTATATACACGTAGGGACTATTTGCATACAAAAATAGGCGAAAGATAAACAACAAAGTGTTTAAATAGATCAACGTCTGGCCATGCTCCGTATAAAAACCTCCGCTTGCTTATCAACAAGCGCACATATTTTAAACTACACCAACAAGAGTACTTCTACGCTATAGAAACAGCCATTTCTGTTAATCATATATTGAGTACGTGGCACACACCATATATTCTCCAAGTTCTTATACAAGGTACTATCGTATGTGATGGTTTAACCAGTTTTGCATATCGATACCTGGAGTCGCAATATAATGAATATAAGTGTATTTTATCGGTAAACCCCATTATACTGGTACTGAGCACTGGCTGAACATACAGTACGTCTGGTTTTGAAACATCAGCTTTCTTAATTTAGATATAAACTTCAGATCGGTTCGCGTTGAAGTGTACATCTATTACATAAAATAGAAGAGCTTTTTTAGGCCGAGCGTAACGGTGAGACCAATTAATGTAGTCCCCGTAAATGTGAGTACATTATAAGCATGTCGATTTAACGACGGATTACTTCGACCCAAGATAAGCTCAATTAATACCATCACGATCCAATGACCGTCAAGAGTATGACACGGCATCGCGTTCAAGATGGCGAGCGCCCCAGAGAACGAAACTAAGTACCTGGAAATGAGATTCGAATATGACTTGCAAAAGCTAGTAAAATTAATTTGTCCTAGTGGTTTCATACTTACGGCGTAACATATAAGCAAAATCAGAGATACGTTGGATCCGTTGAAAGGCAAAATTATTCGAGCAATATAAGATGTTTGTGAAAATTCTCTACAGTATAGTCTTACCTGAGCAGAGTTTCCCAATAGTAAATTGTCTGGGATGAAGCTAGTGAAAGACCTGCTCGCGGTACATACTGAATGACACGCACTGCCTTCCAGAGTTCCTCGGGAGGCCCCACAAATAGCATATCCTGACGAACGTTTGCGCGCTAAACATAGTTCAGTGGAGCAAGTATTAAGAGAAATAATACACCATTTACTGTAGATAGTACATTTGAATGAAATCAAATATGAATCAGATATCGCTCTACCATATCATATAATCCGGCCTTCACATTCAAAATGTATCTATACAGGTTATAATTATCAGAAGAGTAGCAACAACAGATATAAGATATAGTTAAGCATTTTGGTTCACCATAGAAAGACTGCTTTGAAGGTTCGTTACCTTTATGATGAGTAGCCGATGTGAAGGGTGAGCTAGAATCGGTGTGGCGCAAACTTCTGAACCTTCAGCACAACTCGAAGAATTTCTGCAGGGCACACTCAGTTTTTGTAGACTGCGTCGGACCGGTAGGCACTCCCTAGATGAAAGTACATGCAAAAAAAAAAATTATTTAGTACGACAGATATTATCCCACAAGAACTGCATGTTTACTCCGACAGAAATGAAAAAAATCGCTAGACTTTTCATAAATGTATAGTTACGACAGGTACCTAGCTAGATCTGCACCATTAATCTTTTATATAATATTCACGTTTGTGGGGAATCATGTGTATCTCTTGATAACCACACAAAATAACAAAATAGAATTCAATTTTTACTGAGATCCTTTAGGTTTCCAATATTTTCATTTCGTCGACGTATTCTACTTACAAATCAGCATATCGTAGTCAGGGACACAGAAACGGTTAGTTGGATTACTACGAAAAAAACATGCACAAATAACCGCGCATACTTTGTTAAGTTCAAAATCAATAACTTATTAGAATTTAAACAATGATACTAAATTAACTGACGCAGAATTCAGGGCATACTTCGAAAAAAAAAAAATGATCAAAACAAACAGAGTTTTTTATAGTTAATAATCTGTTTTTTTATCTGTAACTGTCAAATAAAATCATATGTATATTCACCTTTGGGCATTTAGTTCAGGCTGAAGTGAAAAACATAAATCTGTTGATGATTCAACTCCGGGTGAGCAACACGATCTCTTTGAACCCTTTTGATCACCAACGCTGAAGTTCGTCGCGGTTACAGCTGCGCCAAGCACAAAATTTCGAGGTAAACAACCGCCCTCTAAACGAGACGCGACGTACTGTCCGAGACAAGATTCCCAATCAGTGGTACTACGGACTTCACAGTGGTTAATAGCGGTCACTTCGTCTCCAGGCCAAAGACCTCCAGGTCCCGCTGCACCTTCGCTGATAGATCCATCTACTGAGACGACCGCAACACCTGGCCGGAACACCGGCGACAATAACACCTAATTCATAACAGGAATTAAAACAGTCACGCTACTTGTGACTAACCCTATCTGTTCCTAGGTTGCAGCTTATCTATATTTAGGATTATTGCATGGATGAAACTAAAAAAAAAAAAAAAGTAGCAAACAGAAAGAGGCTTTATTATTTAGAGGCTTGAGACGCCGATGGTTCGTAAAAGCCTTTGAAATAGCTGCCTGTGATAAATCACGTTTACATGTTAATCGTACCGGATTTGAGGCTAAGAGTGCCCAGGCAACAGCGGCAATAACAAGGTTGTGCCATACTCCTCCGCACAAAATTCTTAGGCGACGCCATGGTGGAAGCGCTGTCAGTGGGTCCACTGGCAAATCAACATACGCTCCGGGAAATACCACCACGACAAACGCACCTACACCATTAATCCGGACGCCTAAACGAGAAAATGAGTAAGAATTTTTCGTTGATAAGGAAATGCATTGCTCCGAAGAAAAATTTATCTGGTCTAACACATATTTATTTTTTTTTTTGCATTTATCTATTAGATGAGTCTAGTGGTTGACAATAATCATGAATGATGACGATTCAAGAAACACTACGATAATGATCTAAGCCAGTAAAAAGTGCGAACGTATGATATTCAGTGGTTTAGCAAGACGTGAGCACGCGGCAAAATGCCCCGCGTACTGTGTAGACATGATCCGATCGAAAACTTTTAGTATATTTTTGTTCGATACATAAACGGCTTCTGCTGAGAAGACCATTAATATATCTACAGGCTAAATGTGTTTCCTCTTATTTACACTCTAGATTCGCTATATAAAGCCCATTTAAGTAGATTCAGAGAGTCAAGATGATAGACACCTGAAAATAAGGACGAACAAATATAAGACGAAAGTAAGAAAAAATCTACCTTCTTTGGAAGCGGCTAGAGCATGGCCGAATTCGTGCAAAACACTGCATATAATTAAAGTTGCTATATAAAATGGAAGATCAGAGAACGGTAAATTTATTCCGGGCAGTGCAGGAGTGAGATCCATTGACGAAGAGCTCCCCGATGATCCGGAGGAGGCGTCAGATGCTAAAATAACCAAATGAATTTCCTATATTAATTATCTTAAATCACAAGCTTACTGGTCGCAAATTAATGTTTGTCTTACAAAAATGCACTTACTTCATGAATAGACCAATCGAAAATGACATAGCAATGTATCGATGAAAATAGCCTAAGGTTTGAGCATATAGGGTTTGTTTTTAGAGAAGGCCAGCATCTTGTATGCATGACTCCAAGGGTTGCTTTCAGCTGAATGAAAAATCCTTTTTCGTAGGAATTGAAAGTTCATAATTAAAAAGCAACATTCTTATGCCAACTTTCAGATCATACCTATTTAGGCAAAAAATGTCACAAGTTACAGGAGATATTATAGCTATGCAAGAAAAACCCCACAAGCCAATTTTATGAACACAAAATTTCATTAGACCATTAAGCCCAACTTAACCTAAAAATCTAACGTAAAACCAAATTTCAACTGGCACCATCAAATGAAGGTTTCACGGCAAAATGATGTAAGTGGCCTAGCTTGAATTGAGAAAACAATTTATATTCATAAATAAAACTTAGCTCCATTAATGTTTGCTGCTTTAAGCAGATATTTGCCTTTCCGAATTTATCAAGGAAGCTTTAAGTTATCTATCACTCCCGTTAACCTTGATCATTTGACTAAATGAAATCTTACGGAAATCGGACTCGACGGAAAGTATCTTTGATTCACCTTCGGATACGTAGAGTATTTCCCACAATAGTGAGACAAAAGTTCGAGTTAGTAGGAAACAGGCTATCGGACAAAGTATAAGAGTTGCCACGATTCCAATATCGAACCATAGTGATTGCAGTGGTTTTCGCGAATACGGCATTCCCGCGTTAAAATACCGGTTCAGTCTAAAAAACATTACAAACACTAAGGTAATGCTCTTATTAGCACGACTACTATAAATATTCCTAATATCACTCCGCTAATTATTTCATTTGATTATTATTCTTACTTGGAATAATTTTTCCCACACTATGTGGAACGCATTTGGAAAAACCTCACCTTGTGGTATACCATTGTATGCGAAATAGCTTCACGTTGAAATTGTAGTGTCGTAGGTAGTCGAGATACGGCCTTACCATACACGACTTCAAAAGAACGTCGAGAAGATTGAAAAGTGTCCATACCGAAAGGGTTATCACAATGATCGCCAACATAGTTTTATCTGTTCGTTACAACGTAGAACGGTTCAGTGTTAAATAATGACAAAAAGATATATTTCTCGATTCGATATTTTCTTAATCGTTTAACATTCATGAAATCAAGTACCGCTCTTCGAAATTTCTTACCGAACGACACAGTAATCATTAGTAATCGTACTGCTCCACCTCATCCTGTGGAACAAAATTGTTGCCCAAACCCATTTTGAATATGCTTTTCTTTAAACACATCGAAAGTAATCTACGTTCAACATGGGGCTCTGGTCCCTAATCGTACCTGCCTACCCTGCGTCCTTAGGAACCATATCCCTGCCACAAAATTGTAAAACAAGTACCAGTTTCGCTAACTTAACTTCTTAACTTTACTTAGTTCATTGGGTTTCATGTGACGACTACACAAAACCCACTTGATTCACCCGCATTCAACGGGTTTAGACATGTTTTGCTCTTTTATTTACTCTTCACCGTAAACATCTCGTGTCAGGCGACAACTGAAGACCACTTAGTGAAGTCAGCATATATAGTGTACCTAAACTATTTCCGTTACTGTAGCAGCGCTATCCAAGATTCTTCGACTAGGTATCCGCGGGCCGTTCCACTTTAGTGCAGAGGTCAACTCATTTTTCCTCTGTCTTAGCTGCCGGACGAACATGGGCGGCTGGACGATCTACAGCTAGGTCATCTTAATGTTCGTCTTCTACCACCACCTGCAATTTCGAACAACAATAATGTAATTAAGACAATTTCATAGACGATATATAACAGGGGGCAGACGTACACCACAATCTGTCTCTTTATTTAACGCTGTTTGGAAATAGATTAAAGAGAAAAATTTTTTTTTATTTCAGACATCTTTCGTTCAAGACATACGGGATAACCGAAGTAATTAAAGAAAGCCAATTTAGATGTTTCGCTTCTTATACCATGAGAGAAATGCATGCCACATACTCTCACCGTAACCTTTTTTTCAGTAGAAAAGCAAAGCAAAAATCATGTTTTTATTTATTTGTTAAATAGGACCCTTTTAATGTAAAGTTCTCTACGATTAATGAGCTACTATCTACGGTTTCAGCGTTCGCATTTACGTAAGCGTTTTTCAAAATTTATTAAGTGCGCATTCCAATTTACATTATCAACAACCTAAAACGCTTTTCCATCCTGAAAATTGTAAAATCAAAGTAAAACTGAGCCGGACTGAGTTGACTTGTTGAGAATCGCGCGGCAAAAGCGGATATACGCTGTTCGGAACGTTCTAATTAGCCGATAGTCAAATCTGAAAGCTTTAGATACAATAAATGTGAAGCGCAAGTAGAACGGATCTAATCGTGCCGGTTGCATTGCCATGGAGAAACCCCTAGTCGTTAAACTAAATTGTACCGGTTCTTTTCTTAAGCTGCAGCATAGACACTCAGGGTTGCCAAGTTTAACAACGATTTAGTTGTAACGGGTCTAACCACGTACTCTCAGAAAGCCACTTTGTCAATACCACGCCTATGTTCGACTAAAATAATATGTACCATTAGGAGACATTTCGATCTAGAAGCGTGATGACATACTTACTCACAAAATGACGAGCACAGTTTATATAAAGTGCGCGACGTTGTCATTCGATTCTCGCACCACCACGAAGCATCCTGGAGAAAAAGTGGATACCGGATTCATTGTTTTATAGGCGACGGAAACAGAAAAAATTTCTAGGACCACGATCATTCTCCCTAGATATCGTTCCTTAGATGAGTTACGGTTTTGTCACTAACTACAGCTTACCTTTAATCATCACCACTGTTCTTATTATAATCTGACAGCGCACTAGGGGCATATGGTGGTGAGATACAGTGGCGCATAACTGGCCTTCGGCAGCAGCTGCAATTCTATAAACAGTATTTTCTAGAGGAAGATGAACACGGTACTGTTGTTGCTGCTGCTGCTGCTGTTGTTGCTGTTGCTGTTGTTGTTGTTGTTGTTGTTGATCCTGCACAAAGCGGCATCAGCTGATCGAAGGTAGAACGCCATTCGTCTGGCGTTAAACTTCGGAGTTTTTTTACCGTCGTAATGGTCTATTATTATCTAGAATGTTTTCTTATTAAAGGACTAACGTAGATATTATGCTCCTTGTTATTGCTGAGAATGATTTTAGTTAGAAACATCAGCAGTTGGGCTGTTGGTCACTTCCGTACAATGTGTTTGCACATTCTGAGAGAAGAAATCATCTAGAACACAGCTTTCGCTTCAGGACGTTGATAGGAAAAAGGTAAGGAAACCGCTGTTCCCGCAACTTGGATCGGTGACTGAGTCAACCAGTCCTGAAATCGAACACCCGTTACCGCTGCCTCGACAATTTTACTGTGTCAACCTGCATGAAATCACGTTCTTGCAGCAACAGCGCAAACACTCCCTAAAGGCACGTCACCTACTTTACGAAACTTCGTGTGATCCTGCTACTTCCGGCGGATTAGCAGAAAATTCTCTAAACTCCTCTCTTTTCGCCGGCAGCAACACGACGTCACCGTATAGAGCTACATAACAACTGCTGAACATGTGCAGCTTTAGGATGAGTCCAAACAGGTCGTACTTGGTCGGCCATCACGATGTTTGGATGGCACAACCGGTCAATGAGATACACTTAGTGTGTGCACCCAACAACGTCTGCTAGCGAGCGTCGTTGGACCCGGCGAGGCCCGACTGTCAGCGAGTTTCCGGAGAGGGTCGACCGAGAGGCAGAATGCTCAGAGCGACCACAATGCGTACAACTTGAAGGGGCCTTGACCATGACCTGGACAACGAGTTACCTTTACAAGGATGTTGACACTTTTGCCTGAATGAAAGTAAAGTTTAGCATCCGATTAATAACTAAGAGCCGATCAAGCCAAACGGCACCCGTTGCAGCGCTCACGCCCTCGACGTACCCCTTTTCCACTGAGTTTCCATTCGTCAAGTAGGTGCTGTAAAAATCTGTTTACAAGTAGAACATTTCAGCAAAGCACGCTACCCATCAAGCGTGGCCTATTTCTTAACTAATCTCTATAAGTTATTCTCGTGTAAAATCATGACATTTCACCGAGTGCACAAAATGCCGGCCGCTTAAAGCGCTTGGCCCGGGCCGGGGCCCACTTTGACGTTAAACTTGTCTGCACCGTGCCAGGGCCGTCTGTGTTTATATCGCTGTCCGGCTGAAGTCGGCATCGGCTCAACTGACTGACTCTAGTTGCGAGCCGCTGCCGCTGCAGCTGCTCCTGGCTGGCTGGCTGTTGGCTGAGTAGCGTGTAGAGAGGTCTGTGTGTCTGCCTCGGCGATCAGCTCCTGTGGTCGTCGCCGCGTTACAGAAGTAGTGGTGCCATACACGTTTCGTTTGACGTCAAATTCAGCCGAACGGCAGAGTTCTAGCTGGTTGTGCACGTGCGTGCTCATGTTACTGCTGCTTAGAGATACTTATAGCATTATAGATTTAATAGTGTGAAGATTGCGTGTATGAGTCCGCGGCGGAGAAGAAGAAGAAGACGACGACGACGACGACACCGACGTGGTGGTGTGCTACCGGGGGTGTGCTTGTATTAGATTCAATTGACCTGGGTCGAGAAGAGATGAGTGCGTGTTGTGCAGTGCATATCTATCAGTAGGATACGACTACGCCGCAGGAGAGAGAAATCGGTTAGCTACCACGGCTTTTGCAATTGCTGCTATAACTAAACCATACCGGCAGTACAAGAGAAGCTACTGCTGCGGCAGTATCTATAATTTCCACCACTGTGTTTAACTGTGTGTGTGTATGTGTGTACAGGTAGCCTATATTGGCTTTATTAGCTCGTCCACTGTCAGCTAGGATTAAATCACAAAAAAAAACCATTAACACTACCGAACAAAAGCAAACATTTACTGCGAAAAGTATTCAACTCCTTTTTAAAGACAAACCAAGAAGGACGAACAAACTGGCCAGTCAATCGACCGACCGACCGACCGACCGACAGATACTCAATAGTGAGCGACTGGGGTCCATCGTATCGAAGGAAAATATCCGTGCGATCCAGAGATCGGTAGCCTTGTTGAGCTCTGTACAACAGATTTTCTGTGTGTGCCCCTTCCTGTCTATCGTTATCAGCGTCGCTTCCTCACGTTCACCAAAAGGTACGTAATAATCAAATCAATGAGAAAATGAATGAAATGCGTATTGAACATTTTCGACGTGAGTTTATTACGCTCGTTAACTGCGACCTCACTGTACATGAAAGAAAAGCCAGTTTTTTTGGCGAACACTGATGAGCTGTGAGGGATGAGAAGTGCGGGTGAACAGTTGGTCGTTGCCTGGAAGACGACTGCGACAGGACGGCACGACGTTGCGGGATGTTTGTGTGTCTCCCTACTCTCATTGTGAGTGCTTTCTTATGCGCATTATAGTGGCGTTACTGATAGGGCCGCGATGCCCCGCTAGAAGACGTAGTGGATAGAGCGCTGCTAACTGTCGTCGCTGCCGCCGCCGCCTTCATTGTCGCAGGGATTTCCTCTATCGTGACCGCCTGTGGCCCGCTCTCGATTCTCTTAGCTCCCGTTGAAAAAAAAGACCAAATAGAAGAAACGCGGGGTCCATAGTCAACTATTTTATTCTTTTCTCGGAGCTGCTGCTGCGGGGCCCGTCGCCAGTAATACGAACGGACGGAACGACTGACCGAACAATCGTCGTGCATATCTCGTCGGCAACCTTGAACCGGGATTGCAACGTCTATCTGTCGTTTACTTCGTCGTCGCTATCGACGTCCTGATCATGACCTCGTCCATATCGATTAGATTCGCTTCGCGACTGACAATTATTATCATCGTATGGGCTTGGTTAGTTAGCCAGCCACTAAAGAAACGAATTCCTGTTATTTACCTAAAGGTTGTCGTTGAAGTACACTCAATTACCGCCCAGTGCCATGTTTGCCCCTTGTGGCTGCTTGCCTGTGTGTCTTAGATTTCGAGTACATCAATCGACGTATTCGTTAGCTATTGTTGTTGTCCTCGTCGTCGTCCTACTATTCATTCATACTATTGTTCTTAGTTAATATTTCTAGATGAGTTTGTGCCATCCGGCAATCGCCGCGGCCGCCGCCGCCGCCGCCGCCGCCGCTAGTGACGACGACCACGAGGAGAGGTAATCGACATCAGCTGCAGCAGCACGATGATCATCGCCGCCGCAGTCGTCATCATTGGCGATGTTGTTTGTCTACGATCGTCGCCACCAGTCGAGAATGCCTGTGTGTGTGACTGACTGGTTGGCTGAGCAAGTGTACTATTGTTTGTGGCATTTATTAGAGTATACTAGCGCGCTAGTGGCCTGACCCTGCGAACTGTATCTCCTATTATTGCCTTTGTTGGTGGTATGGGGCTATGCGGCTGTAGCAGTAGTTATGTTGGTATAGTGGCAGCTAGCGGCAGGCAGTTGTTTCTCTGACCGTCGATGATATGGGTATTTGCGTTTGCGTATACGTGAGTGCCGTCGACGTCATCATCACCATCACGACCACCATCATCGGCCTCTCAATGACCGGACGTCGCTCTATGGCTTTAGGCTCTCCTGTCGACTGATGAGCGGGTGCGCTGCTACCGCCGCTACTGCTGTTGTTGATTTGCAGTGCATTGAACCCTGTGGGGAGAGAAAGAGCAAGCGAGCGGACAAGTGAGTTAGCGCATCGGCACCGACGATGGTGACTGGCTGGCGGGCAAGCAGGCGATGCCAGCTGCCGACTGACTGGTAGTTAGCACAGCTGACTGCTGTACCGACGATACAACACTGCAGCAGCAGCACGGCACGATCGAGACTGACCGAGTAGCAGCAGCGCCAAGGCAGCCAGGGAACAACAGTCAGCGGCGTTGGTCCTTCGTCGGTCGTTGGTCCTTGGCTGGCGGTCGCTCGTCCAGTCAATCTTTCGGTCGGGGTCGGTCGGCCGAACAGCTCAAGAGTTGAATTGTGGCGACGGCGCTCGCGGCATTGGCATAGTAGTAACAGCAGTGTTCTGCGCTGCTGCGATGGACGCATGACCAGGGGACGACAGCAGTTGCCGAGTCTGCCCGGATCGGCAGGGACACAACAGGGCTGCCCGCGCTGTGATGGAGGGAAACGAGTGCGGGACCGCGGCCGTGCGCCGAGACTATTCGCTCGGCTCTGGCATTAGGCTTAGCGCCTATCGTGTTCTTGTGCCGCCGCTTGCTTTGGCTGTTTAACTAGCTGGGTCTGAGGCTCTATGATCTGTGCGCCATGCGCTATGCTCTGTGTTGGGTCTCGGCCTAACCGGGCCGACTCTCGCTCATTCCTGCTCCCTACGCCGCTATCTTCGCCACCGCCGCTATCTTGTTTTGCTGTTGCTGTCAGCCTATGCTGCTGACTGGGTTCGTCCGGTTGTGATCCCGCACGGCCGACAATGACGAGTCGGCTGAGAGCTCGACAGCCGTTAGTCGCGCTGGTTCAACGGTGCGCCCGACGTCCTCACGGTTTCGCGTCCGGCGCTCGTTTAGTAGCGGCTACAGCGTCATGGGCTTCTGGTAATGGCAATCAGAATAGTAGTTATAGTAATAAGAGGCAGAAAATTGCGATATTCTGTTCGGTAATGTTGCCGCATGTTTGAACAGGTACAGATGGCAAACATCAGAAAGTGCATTATGTGCGATGGACCGCACTGACTGATATCGAAAACCATTGACTGGATCGAGAAGCTATTCAGCGCGACGATCCATTGTTAGAATATGCATTCATTTTTCAAAGTCCATCGTAACGAAAGCACACGTGTGGATATGTGGAAGATAGAAACAACGAGACCGAACCTTCATCTAGAACAAAACGTTAAGGGATATACATGATAGAATAAAGCTTGAAGGACAGCAAAGAAGAGAACAAAAGCGAAGTAAAACTGAGGTGTGCTTTCCAATGCCGCCATGTTATATTTTCAACGAAATTAATGCATCTTAAAGATTTTGGAAAATTATTCAGTGTAATCTAGGAGGACTAGCGGCGACCTTAGGATTCCAGGCGTTTCTCAGAATACTGGGGTGCATTTTTATTTGGTAAAGGCTGCTCTGCGACAGGCTTCTCAAATCCAACTGATTTCTTTGTGTATAGGTATTCTGCTCAAATATTCAACAATGTTATTTTTAGTGCTGAACTATAATAAGCAGCAAAACAAAAGGACCTTCGTACAAAGAGCTGACCACTTGTGTCAAGAACGTATATTCCGGACGCAAAGGTGCGCCTAAGTTGATTTCAACCTGTACCGTGTTGAAGTACTGCGGTCATCACTAAAATTTATTAAGTGTAATTTAAAAATAGCGTACGAGCAATTGTTTGTGGTCGCTGATAATTCGTACTGTGGGTGGATAATTTTAGTTTTCGTCGACGTCGGTCTCAGTTGCTTTTATCGCTGCCATTGATCGGACAGTGGTTTGAGGCGGTCATCCTTTTTCTTTGATATTGTGAAAATATTAAACCATGGCAAATAGACGCTACGTTATGGTCTGTTTTTGCAGCCCGCGCAGTTCTCCCTTCAGTTAAAGCGGCTAAGAAATATCGAATTGGCGGGAAAGACACAGAGGCTGATCGCTTTGATTACAATCGCCAAAATCCAACCTATTCCTGTTTGGAGGCACACCACAGTTGTCAGCCACCCTATGGACGTATGTGATACCGGTAGAGAAATCGTTTGCGCTCATAACCGATTCCAACACGCTTTTTACATACTTCCTGTAGATGCTGCTATTAATGTTTGCTTCGTTTTCAGTCCTTAACGAGAAGGAACTAACTTCACAGTTTGACCTCCAAAACAGACCTAAGTATATTTATATACTCAGGTCTGTTTTGGACTATAACTAGCTCTGGGACGCGTCTGTGACCCACGTGAGCCTCAAGCATCTGTAAGATAAACAAGTTCGCAGCGCCTTTATGATTTTAGGCTCGAAGTCTGAGAAGCTCGACTCTATATTACATATATTAACCAGAAGTGCTGCATCATTTTAAAATTGAATAGTAATAATAATTTTAGAAAGGGCTCTGAAATTACATGCGTAGAAAAATTAGTGAAACAGTAGCTATTCGTGAGACTATATTCGTGTATTTTCAATGCTCTGAGCTGAATGACTGTATTTAAAATGCGACCTGTTGTAAAGGGATCGAGACCAATTCCAGTCGTTATTTACAGTAAGCCGTTAAACTCTCTCCGCTAAAATCCGGTTTAAAATACTATTTATTATTTTCAACTAAGGACAAGCGCAATATTTTCTTTACAATCGATGTAGCCTGTTTCTTAGAAGCGTACATATTCTCTTGGAGTGAGTGTACATATAATTTCGGTACATACTTCGGAGCACCGCAAAGGCGTCAGCTGTGTGCATCATTCCACTTTATTTCGCTTCGTTCGTTTCCAATTGCGGTAAATAAGTATCCGATTTTTTGGCTAAATTAAGCCAAATAGGAGAAAATTTTTTTTTTTTTTCCACTGAGAAAGGATTTTTTCCACTGCGCTAGGTCCATGACTAGCAATACCGCATGAAAAACAAAAATTTTTCGGCAAAGCCTAGCTGAGTATTAGATAAGTTGGCGGGTGAATCATGTGCAGCGCGGTATTTTTCAATAAGCAAATAGGCCGCTAGATATTTACACTACGTAAGTCTGATACTAAAGAAAGTCGAAGTGAGACTAGTGGTTTTATCAGATTTTTTTTTTCTGACTATTCAAGTAGAAGCAGCCTGTGTAAACAACCTCATTGAAGTGGTCAAAAGATGTACGCGAAGCCCACTGTTACGAACAATGGATGTTACAAGTTTTTAATCTGCTTATGTTTCTATTGCATCAGTGCCGTTTCCGCAATCCTGGCCGCAGTTACAGTCAACTGGCAGAGTACTATATTTTTACTTCGAGTTTTCAACAACGATCCTCAATCGCTTCAAAGGGATCAAATGAACCCGATGCCAAAATAAGTCTAAAACGGTGTGTCTTTCCTACGCTAGCGGACGAAATTCGTTAACCTATAATAATGAGCTTTGCAGATGACCTGAACTACAATTTAAATTATTAATATTGGAGAGCAATTGCTACTTGGAAACTTCGTCCTCACGCTGCAGATCTTCGTTGCTTAATTGATCTTGCTCTTCCCACACGTGTC